TTAAGGTGCGGGGTCGCTCGCATTTCATGTTTGCAGGACCACTTGAAGTCAGCATAGGCACGGTTCATCAGATCGTCAAAGCCTTGTTCACGGCCTGGCCAGAATCCCCATTGAGCCAAAGTAACGAGGCATGAACCCACAAAGTGTCTACCTATTCCATATTTCCAGATATGGAATGGGTCGCCCTTGTAAAAGTTGGCAGCTCTCATTTGATAGATAGCTCGCAATGACGACCGCGCGTCATGACGCCATGGCTCCAATTTGAAAAGTGTTCGCCTCCAGGCTGCACTTGGTGAAACATCTTCCCAAGGATGATCAGGCGTTCCCCCCAAGCAATAGGGGCACATACCTGCCGGGTTCCCAAGATTCTGGAAAGTTCTTGTAAGTCGGCCAATTTTTGCCAAGGCAGGGCTGTCACCTTTCATGCCCAGACATACCCCGTAGAATCGCTTCCGTGTAATAGGCTCCACCACTCCATCCTCAAACACTTCTATGCAGCCCATGGAAATCTCTTCAACAACTCTATGCCATACCTCTTTCCCAGCTTTGTTCTTATACATTGTGTGTCCCATCACTGCAATTAGAAAATGGCTGTTGAAGGAATGACCCTTCTCAGTGTGTGTTTGCGTATCCAAGAATGAGCGTGCACTGTGTTGCACACCAGTTCTGTTGTCCCTCCTGGACAATAGGCCAAAGCAACTTTCCATAGCCCAGATTTGAACGGGCGACTTGCGATGTCCCCTTCCCTCGTCAGCGTACAGAAAGAAAGGTATGCAGGCATGAAGGTGTGCACCATGTCGATGGTACACATCGTGGTTACCATCCTGTTCCTTGTAGCTTCTCCAAAAGCTGGCCAAGTGTTGGCCCAAGCTTTCATCAGAGGCAGAAAAGCCTCCGAGTAAAGCTTCCGGTTTCTTGCAGAAAAGAAATTCAAAGCAGGAAGTCACTCGAAGCACAGGGATTATGACCAGGCTCTTTCTCACAAAAGAAATTTTGATATCCAACGTGAGCCCCCAATCACGCACCAAATTGTGCAGTTGTGCTTCAGCGTGACCTAGGTTGAGGCCGCTGAGAAGTTTGATGCCTCTAAGGCTTCCAGGGCTTTCAGCTTCAATGGTGCGCGTCAACCCCACAATCTTTTTGGCAGAGTCCTTGGGGTAGGCACCCAAGAAAAGGGCAAACACAAACGCAACCCCTACACCTCTCAGGTCAATACCCCATCAGCCAAAGCAGCAACGAGCTTCTTCGCGGTTGGACCAGGGCCTGTGGTCAAACCTCAGTAAGACAGTGGACAAAGTCCCCAACCCTGTCACTGGGTCGGGTAGGCAGGTGCGAATTTCTAAGAAAATAGAAGAAGCATTGTATCACGTTGCATCACTTCAGAAGTATATCTAGCAACTCTCCGCGCTTCAAAAAGGATGGCACCTACCCAGTACAAGCGATCACACTCCAAAATCGAGGAGGTTTGTACTGTTCACAGTACTCCTCACCTGACAAGACCTAAGTGATCCAAGGGCAATTGTTTGCACCAAAAGGTTCAAGGAAGATCTCTAGGACCCCTTGGCCCGAACCCTACGGCGAGGAGGTGTAGCCTGTTGGCCATCCCCTTCACCTTCCTTTGGAGCCGGTGTGGGTTTTGCATCAGCCTTTGCCTTTGCCTTTGTTTTTGGCGCAGGCGCAGGCGCATCAGACTTTGCTGCAGCCTTTGACTTCGCAGCACGGGACTTGGGCTGCGGAAGCTTCATAGCCTTCACTCGCCCCTCAAGCTGCAAGCTCTCCATTGCCCTTAGCAGTAACAGTGGCAACATTTGGGGGCTCAAGTGTGTTCACCAGGCAAGTATTTGCAAGTCAGGGCACAAGCGTCTGACATTGTTGTAAGAATCCTTCAGCAAACCTTCATGCCTTGGCGCACAGGGTCCAACCCCTCAAGCAACCATGCATCTCAAAAACAATAGTAGAAACCAACAGGACCCAGTGAAGCTAGGTGGCTTTTCACTGAAGCCTTCAATAGCACCCTCGCTATAGATTTTGTTCATTGTGTCGTTGCACTCATCGAGCTTGGCGAAGGTGTCATCAACCCGCTCCTCCAACCTAAGGTTTGAAATCTTGTCGGGGCCCATGCTTCAAAAGCACAATGATTCATATGTTTCAACAATGCAAATAAGGCATTGACTTCTTGATGACTTCAGTTCGATCACTTGGAGGAATACTCTCAATGCGAGTCTTGATGTCCGCACACCTGACCCCGCCACAGCTTTCCCCAATCTAATTCTGGTCCAAAACGAGCCTCCTCTGGTTGCACTTTCGCTGCCAAACGCCGCCTCTGAATCCCTACAAAAAAGAAGTTTGTTTCCATTTGTCTCGCTCATTGTCTCGCTCATCCTAGCTCCGAACACCTGGCCCGCCACGAATACCTGGTCACGCCAGCATCAACCTTCATTTAGAGGGTACTCTCGCTACCAAACGCCGCGTCTAACTCCCCGAACACCTGACCCCGCCACAGCTTTCCCCAAACAGCTACCCGTAATCTCTGGCGCGCTCCCCCTTGCTACGGCGGGGTCGGCGGATATGTGTTTGGGATCATGACGAAAATGCCATATCCATGTAGTGTCTTTGACTCAAACAGATTCAAAGCCGAATCTGCAACGCCCCTGCCGGCCGTTATTTTGCAGGACCTACTGCGATGGCAGGGCGAACACAAGTGCCTTGCGCCCCTTGGTTCAGTGGAAAGAGGGGCTCACCGTGGCTATCTCACCGTGGTCTGTGCGGAGCTGGGTGATGCCCTTCTTCCGTTCGGTTCGCGAACATTGCTCCGTTCGTAGTAAGGCCAGGAGCCCGACGTCCGTAGCGATGCCCTTTCCCACCCTTCGTCACTCCGGTCCGGTGGTTTCAGATGGGCCTAGTGGATTGCAGATCCACGAACCAGGAGTCACGTGTCGGTCTAGGTCTTGGAACCACGACTCCCGAGCGAGCTCTCGTGGGAACTGCCTGGATAGACAGGTCACTTGATGATTGAACCCATGTTCCTCACATGTTTCGAGTGGAATCCCTGTGACCACACCGTGGGTTGGGGAGCGGTGACCACACCGTGTGAACTGCGCGCCGAAACCTTCAGGACCCCCATGGACACGGTCCAGGTCTACCCCCCTGCCTGCTTCGGCTGTGCTCAGCAAGACTTCCACAGGTGCTCAGAGAAAGAAAAGAAAGACCAGGTTGACCAAGAGAGGCTTTCCCTTTCTTCAGCGTGTGTATCTTAAATCGACCCGAACCCACCCTCAAGGTCGTTGCCGGGTGTCGGTCTCCCTATCTCGAGCTCGGCACAGCCTATATCGTGTACTGCGCATTTGCAGCAACCTCCCGAGGTTTTTGTTTGACCGGTCAGCTTTTGATGGTGAGGGACTTGTCAGTCCCTGAGATCGGTTCGTTTTTACGGGGCACAAGACGGCTAAAACATGCTAAAACAAGATGAACGAACAAACCCTACCAAATTGCTCGTACTCAACAGTTCCTGTAGAGTACGTGCTTTTTCGCGTGCATGCCCCAACCGCATCAGACTTTCCGAAATCGGGGGCAGAGTACCCCAATCGTCTCAACGAAGGGGTACCTGTTTGTATCGGTTTGGTCGAATGTCCCATCTTCTGGACTTGAAGTCGGGTGCAGGTAGATGTCCGAATCATACCCAGATATTCCATGGGACTGCCATAGGACTGCCGATCAGTTGGGGTGGTGCCAGAGGGGTCAATGCAGGCATAATGGATGGCAGTCCCATGGAGTGTCTGGGTATTGAACAATCATATCGTCATATCCTGACTTTGCCAGCGGCCTATCACCAGACCCTTAGACTGCCCTAAGAATCAATGTACTTCTATGATGTATGTATAGTACGTGTACCTACATGTACCTGCGAGATAGCCTATATGTATTGGGGTGGTTGAAAAGGGATCTTAATAGTCTTAATGTAGGTGAAGATTGCTGTCCCATGGATTGTTTGGGCTGGTGACCTGTGACCCGCAGTTGGGTTTCCTTCATTCTCTTTCACCAAGAGATCTGAACACAGATCTCTTGATTCTGTTGCCTACAAACAGCAACCTTCCTATGCAGAGTTCATATCTGGGCTCGAGTCCGGTGGTCCTCAGACTCCACCGGACCGCGCCCACGTCAACACCGGACGCCACTGGTCACCGGAGCCGCGCACGAAAAAACGGCGGCTTCGCCACGCCGAGGCAGTTGGTGAACGTGGACTTCGTGGTTATGAGTGTCAAGGTGGAGCCTAAAGGATCTCATTCAGGTGCCGGCATGGAGTGGCATGGGCGTGGAGTCTCACGTGGAGTCTCACGATGCGACATGTATTTGCAGAGAGGAACGGCGTGGAGTCTCACGAAAGGTTCCCTTTGTAGTGGGTTTTGAGAACTGTTTCTCCTTGCTGCGGCTATTGCTGTTGGAGCGGTTTGGGTGCAGGTACCGTAGTTGCAGTTTCTGTGCCTGTGAAAGAGCTGGTGGTGATCCTCCAGATGATGAGAGATGAAGAGTGAATCAGAATCAAATTTGTCTCCCACTAGAGCCTCTAGAGCAGATGTGGCGTAGACCAACATCTCCCTGTTAGCTAGGGTGCATCCCAGCTAATGGGCTGTTCCAGATCACTCCCAATACCTTCACCATGAATTCAGCTATATTCAGATCAGCCTGAGGTTTGCTCCTGGGCATGGGTTTGTTGGATGCTCAAATCAAGATCTATGCAACCTGGTCGTCTACCCTTGGTTGCAGATGGTAAAAAGATGTAAAAAGTGTTCAAATCCTACGCGATTTCTGTAGAACAATGGACGGAGAGCTCTTCAATCGTTTTACTGCATTTACGTATACGCATGCGTCGCAAGCGTACACCGTCCTAATTGCTTTCGGGACAGGCACATGTCTCCCAGGAAGTGGTCAACAGTGCTTCTGGACGACTTTCGACAAACTCTAAGTCTCCATCCCAGACACGACCTGCCATATCTGCCTTCAAAACGGCGCCGGGGTGGTTGGTTTTGGTCTGTTTGGGGCGGCAGTCCTATGGCAGTCCCATTAATTAGTCGTGTCTGGGCATGGAAGTCCGATTCTCCAGAACTCGAACTCAGCAGGTTCTCCGTTTTCCCGGCCGAGCCCCGCTGTGGGCTGTGCGGCTGGACGTTCCATCATGAATCATGGGGTTTTCCACAGCAACTCAGAGGAGTTCAGATGATCATGGTCTATAGAAAGCGACCAGCCTGTTAGCATTTGGTGTATTGTAACACAGTGTAACTCTACAAGTGAAAGAGCATGTTAGGATGTGAAGAAGAAATGCCTTCTCAATTGACAGAACGGTGTATGGATTTGTATGGCTATTCTCGAAGAAAATGAACCAATCGTGGTCCCATGGCACTGCCAATTCGACCCCTTGCTCCTAGTGTTGCTCCTCGCCAGGCGGGCTTTGCCAGAAGCTCTGCACTGTGAAGGGCTATGTGCCTCGACGGCCGGTAGGTCCATTTGTCGCTCCGCTTGGTCCACCGGTCCCTCGATTCAAATCCGGCCACCCGGCCACGCTAGGATACTCCTCCAAAGGATTTGGCTTCGATTCTTCCACATTCCGGGCCTTCACGGGCCTTCACACGGGTTCGGATGCTGACGTAGCACGGTACTGGCCGGACACGAAGGCATCCGAAAACGCACCGAACCGGGTGCGTGCGCAGCTCGTTCGGTGCGTGAAGACATGTTCGACCCGTCCTCGAGGGTTCTTGGGATCCGATTCCCAGTGGTGAGGAGTGAGGAGGTCCGCATCACGTGAGGACGTCCCATGTTTTTCGTGTTTCATGTGACGGAAGGTGCCTGGAGAGATCTGCAAGAACTCACATGGACCCTGAAAACCACTGGTGCAGGGACCGAGGAAGGAAACACCGAGTCTTTGTTTCTTGGGTCCCATGTTGGTTAGTTTTGTCCATGATGGTCCATGGTGGTTTGCGGGGGGTGTAACATCTTCTATAGTCGACATGTCCGGCGCCGTGTGTTGTTTCTTTTTTCAACCGAGTCAGAGAGAGAGAGAGAGAGAGAGATAGTCAGATAGACAGAGAGTCAGAAAAGTCAGAGAGTCTCTCTTCAGACTCGTGTTGCAGTCATTGACTGTGTTCTTTCTCAGAGTCATTGCAGTCAGTTCTATTTCAGCATGTTGTTTCCATTTACTCTTTGACTCGGAGTCTGAAGACATCAGACTTTCACAGAAAAAGACATCATCCTGGTTTTGCTCCCTCTGGCGGTTTTCTGGGATGTGTTCGGTTTTCGGAGTGTTCTTCTTCTGTATCCCATTCCCAGGGCCCAGTAGAGGTTTTGATGGTCACTAAAGCCCGACATCTCTATATGATCTAAAGCACGTTTATCATGTGTTTTATCGACTGGCACTGAATCCTCTTTGTTTGTGGACGATGATTGACTTCTGTTTTCCTGTTATTTCGGTAGATCGGTCCAGATCAGCGCCTTCCACCTATGCTGGCATTGTCCCAGCGACGCGGTCGCGGTCGCGCCGCCGCGGCTGCGCGCAGCCGCTCCTAAGGATGGCTTTACCTGGACTTCGGAGGGATGCTGGCTGAAAAAGCTAGGCTGGGTGAGCTGCACGGGGGGGGTTGATGATGCTTGGTGATGGGTGTTTTGAACAGTTGACGGATGAACACCTGCCAGAATTTGATCTCACTCAAAGCACGTGTGTTCCATTTTGATTACAACTCGACTCACAAGTATGAACTCATTCAATCCAAGTATCCCATTCAATCCACGCACGGTCGAAACAAGAACCTAAGAACCACATAGAACCACTAAGGAGTCCCAGTTTGATCATAGAGAAGAAAGAGTAGCATCTCCCAGCAGTTATGGAAACCACCACAGTTCCGCATACAAACCATCAACGTAATTTGGTTCCTAATTGATATGGTATACCCTGAACCGAACATCTATATACTTAGGGTCTGTCCAATTACCTGTAACAGTCAGTAAACAAGCAAATCACTATTTTTGAACTGTCGGCCTGCAACCTAACCATCATCCACTGAGGCGCAGGTCATAGGATAGACCCAATATATATATATATTATTAATATATATATATATATATTATATATAGCTATCTTTTTTCCAAAGACTCGGATCTACGTCCGCCACGTCCTATACCACGTCTCCCTTGATCTGGTGTGGACCCCGACACCCCACCGGTCAGGACCTGGAATCACCAGCTTCCAGGTGCCGCGGCGACCCGGTCGTGCCTGGCGACCGGTCGTTGAAGAAGTCACGGTACCAGCTGGGTACGACCTGTCTCAATGGGGATGTCCTCGGGAGGTCCCGGAGAGGGGCGAAACCAGCCAGGTGACCCTGACAGGAAGGTGCTGGTAGCTGCTCAGGCGCTACTGACCCCTCTCTGGACTTCAGTCACCGTGAAGCGGTGACTGATCCAGTGCTTGCTTCGTTGAGCGACCCGTCGACGGCGGTCTCCTCGGTCTCCTCCGCGCTTATACGGATCAGAGACGGAGTCATCAGGTCGGGAGGGGTCTGGGGATGTTGTGGGGTCGAAGTCCTCCGCTTTTGGAGAGCCCAGTGGAGCCGTGAAGACGGAGCGTCTGGTGGCACTTGAAGCATCTCAGCGGGCGTAGCATGCGTCGCATCTTCGAGTGACTCAACAGGAGCGCCGTCACGTTGGAGCAACAGGAGGGTCACGTTGGTGTTGAAGGTATTTTGAGGAGATTGGATTCCAAAACTGTTCTTTCCAATCAGCTCAAGACCCAAAGCGTGGTCATTTCTTGGGTGCTGTGCATGGAGATGTCTTCAAGGTCATTCTCCAATGCTTGTCCCACTTCTCAAACAGATTTCCAATGGGCTTGCCCTTCTGACTCATCCTTTCTGATGCAAGAAGTCAAGCTCAATCTGTAACAGGAACCTGCCCAGTATTGATATGGATGGATAATGGTCACACCAGTTCCCAGCGACATGTCTGTTGTCCGACTTGCAGAAAACCCTCCGCCTGTCAGGCGCAGCCCCTACAGGGTGCCTATTCGGGCTATGCCTGTGCGAAGGTCGCCACCTATTTGCCCTGGCTCACGGACGAGGCCGGTTTTTTTGCCGGGTCGGTGCACTGGTGTGTTGTGAGTAACGGTGAGTACTTGTTTTTGGCTAGTCCAAGGATAGACGGTTTTTTGGTGAAAAGGGGCGGTGTCAATGTGAACTCCAAACTGTGCCAAATCCCAAGTGTTGCGAGTTCAACACCATTTTAAAGAAGTGCCGGTATAGATGACCCGAGTCGAGGATTTTCCTATACTTTGGTGGTGCCAAATCTAGTTGAACTGGACTTCTAGGGCAAGGTGCAATTGTCAGAAGATGATGATCCTAAGCTGAAGAGAAGACAACGCTTTGGGACCGGTGCGTCGTCTGCGTGGTCTGCGCACCAAGCCCCCCCAAGCTCCATCAATCTCGGACCAAGGCAGAGAAAGCTAGTGACAGCTTCCAACGCTTCAACGATTTCTTCATCCGAACTAGAAAGGTTCAACGGTTCTTCACGGTTCTTCACGATTCACAGCTTTAGAACAGGTCGCTCAAGCGGCACGCAGCTTTTCGACGACTGCAGCAAGGTATTGAATGCCTAGCTTTGGTCTCCCTTGGGATGCTTGAGGGCTTTGCAGCCGCAAATGCTGCGGTGTTCAATCACATGCCTAGGCATCGCGTGTTCAATAACCTAGGCAAGTGCAAACTGGACATTAACAAAATGTTTTGGTCCCTCCCACAGTCAATCCCTTAGACCAATAGTTTCCAAACTTGCGTGTATCTACTTTGGAATAAGCTATGCCCAACACTCCAACTTGTGATGAGCTTCCAGCAGTGAAGCTCATCACAGGTTCAACGGTTCTTCACAGTTCTTCACGATTCTTCAACATGAAAAGACATCCAAACAAACAAGAACATACATTTATAGATTTCAACATGTCTATTTTGGGGGTGTCCCATTACCTAACGAACAGTCGGTAAACACGTTTCAGAGAAAGGTCTGCAACCTAATCATCCACTTTGCGGAATGGGATATACCGATATACCCTATAATTCTACCTATGTATAAGGAATATTAAGGAATTATATAAGGCTGGGTTCTTGGACAATGGCCTCCAACCTACTAGCGATGGCCTCCAACCTACTAGCGATGGCCTCCAACCTACTAGCGATGGCCTCCAACCTAGTAGCGATGGCCTCCAACCTACTAGCGATGGCCTCCAACCTACTAGCGATGGCCTCCAACCTAGTAGCGATGGCCTCCAACCTAGTACTAGTAGCGATGGCCTCCAACCTTTATATAAGGCTAGGTTCTTGGATACATGGTTTATTCTCCCTGAAGTTCCTGGCCTCCGTGGCCTCGTCACTTGTGACGCTGCCACTTGTGGACAGGAGGTTGGAACCATAGACACTCTGCGAGATGTAGACTCTTGATGAATAAAAAGCATGGATGTAGAATCTTTCATGAATAACACTTTACCCAGACATGCGTGCTTCTCACTTCTTCATTTGAGGGGGTGAAGCTTTATTCATGAAGTTTCTACATTATGGATTATATAATATACCGTATTATACCTGTACATGGACCCCTCAAACCACCCCTGGCCTGATCGGTCAATCTGTCTACACGTTCGTGTACCACCCGAAAGTTCTCCCCGAACGCCTTGACCTTGACCAAAAATGCTTGACCTGGACCGCTTCACCTTTCGTGTTTTCAGATCCTAAAAGAAAACGGGTTGTTTCTAATAGCAAACGTTGCTCCGTTCGTAGTACGGCCAGGAGCCCCGAACGTAGCGTCCCCGCCAATCGGCCAGGCTCAACGGCACACCTTGATCGGCGTGGGCCACGCGGGCGCCGCGCCATTAGCGGCGGCCACAGGGTCCATGCTGTGTGTGATGCCACCTGGCAGAGATGCCACCTGCATGGTGGAAAGGTACAGACTACGACTGCTGCTGCTGCTGCTGCTTTAACCACTTTCAAGACTGTGTTCAAACATGTGAAACAAGCTTAGTGTATCTTAGTGTTGTGGTTGAGATGGATGATGATGGATGCAACCGAGCAAACGCCTACACCTCCAAAGGTTCCACGCAGAAAAGCACTGGTCCAAATGGACAGATGTGCGCCCATCTTCACCTCCAGGTTGCTGAAGCCCTACTCTGCCGACCTCGACTTAGTGACTTGGCACGCTACTGCGACATGGGGTGAAGCTACCACAGGGCAGCCGCGTAGCCGGGCACCAACGAGCTTAAAAAGAAAGATAGAGCAGATTTAGAGGGTTCTACCTACAATAGAGAGCCATCCATTGCCTGGGAATTGCCCAAATCCACCGCTAACCTCAGCTCAACAGCAGCCCAACACCCCAATGTGAATCTTGATGGTATTGGTCTCCCGGTCTCCCCCCATGAGATTCTATAGGTTCTCCATTGAATGAACCAACGAGCAAAGCAGCAAGATCAAGGCATCTGAAGCATGCAGTGATGAAGCCATCCCCACCCAAAAATGCCCTCCATCAGCATCCAAAGCAAAAACCATCGCGAGCTGTTCCCGCAGCATGGAAGTAACATATAGGGACCATGTTCATTTCCCAGTCCTGCCATCTTCTCTCTGCACAGGTCCTCCCAAAATGGATCCCTGGCCATTTCGGCGGGTCGCGCGGCAGCAGCGCTGAGGTCATCGAACAGCAGAAGCTGGACAAGGGGATTTTCTCTTGTGTCTTGGCTGGACAAGGGTCCCAGCCGGAGAACCCGAGCACGCCAACGTCCATGACCAACTGAAGGACCTCAGGTCCTGTGTGCAGGACCTTCGATGCTTTTTGTTTGGACCGTTGACCACTGTGTGACAGAATGGGGCCGCGTCGATGGAACAAAGCACCCGGACCGATGACCACAAACAATCGAAGTCCACTGGATAGAGGAAGGGTTGAAAGATGTTGAAAGAGAACTTCCAAGCCTACCCACCGGAGTCGTTCACCTGGAAAATCCTTGTTGGGGATGGTTTGGGATTGGGGGAGACATGTTCCGTTGCACACACCTAAAGGCTATGTGGAATTTAGGGCAGAGTCCTACAGAGCCTAACATGTTTGGAAGGTGTTCTTTGATTCTTGGAGGTCAGTGACAAGCGGCCTGAATGGTTAGCGTAACCCGTCGTTTTGGATTCACAAACATGCAATGTATTTGTCATTTGTGAGGGAGCATCAGGATGACCCGATGACCAGCATCCAAAGTGTGCGCTTTGCGCAATCACTTGCAACTCGGTGTGTGAATCCTCTTCTGGCCTGTTGGCAAGGATTCCTTTTCTGGTTCCTCAAGCAAATCCAAGTGTACAGTGTACAGTAAGTATAATACGATGTGTTGTGTTTGACTGGGTCGGTCGACCTGCTATATTAGATGGTATCTGGGAATGCCACCGCCTTGAAGATTAAGCTCTGCGTTTTTTTGTATCTCAAGCGAATGCGTTTACGGAGATTATGTATTCGCACTTGTGTGCGAAAGCTGATAGAGTCATGTTTGTAACAGATGGCTGGTGCATCATTGTCTTTTTCGTCCAATCGTGCTCGGTTTTGGGCATTAACTCAACAAATTGACGGATATCTCAAAATTAACGGATATACACTAATGGAAATTTGATATTTGTTTAAGCATTCTTGTTTGATATCTTATCTCAAAACAATTTCAAGTGTCTCTATCGCATCAAAGATGGGACGTAAGTTGCCTTTCTTCGTAGGACGGATGTTGTGACTGACTGTGACATATGCCAAAAGGTTTTATGTTTGAATATATCTTTGCCTTGGACTGTCGAGTTGCAGTTAAATGATCATAATAAAACAAAATCCCAAAGTTGCGACTTGGATAATCACTTTTTGTAAGACATTGTTTTTGGTGGTAAGGGTCACGAATTCAGACCAATAAAACTCGTTTTGCATATCCTTCCATATACGATCATATACGTGCATGATCATTAATGGCCTTGTTTGCAAATTGGTAATTTGATCCTGTATTTTTCGTGCGGTTATCTTATCATCTTTTGAAAGAGCAGGTAACACCGTTGATTTTGTGTTTCTGCATTTTGATTGAATATTTTTCAGCCATGACAATCTATCTTTCTATCTTCAGAGGTCATTTGTGCTCAAATTTTGCAGTGTAGGTCACATATCTGGTAGACGGAGATGGCTTTTTGTATGCTCGTGCCTGTAGAGCAATGGGAAGCCTGGCTGCGAGGGCAAGCAAGGGTTGAGCTGCGATTCCTGTCTGCGGTGCCAGCACAGCTTGTGGAGCAACCCCAGACACCAATGCCAGTCAAGATCAGCGATGACCTGATCCAAGAGCCACAAATTGACATTGAATTTCTTTATGGCTGCTATAGCTTCGCATATGGCAACCATCAATGTTTCGCTCCCGTGGACTTTGACTCGTTGGAGACTCTTAAAGGGTTGCATGACATCAATGGGCTTAACATGCCGCTCTACCAGTTTCTTTCTTCGCGGGACCTTGTGATAGAACCTGCCATAATCGTAGTTGGATCTCCAGCCAATCATGATCCAAACAATGATCGCTTTCAAGGTGAGTCGCAATCAAAAAATGTCTTGTTCAAGGACGTTTGCACCAGCTTGGGTTGGCACACCCCTGCAGACTGTCTCGTGCGCATGACTTTCTCCAAGAGCGCACGTCAGGATATGCAGTGGTGGACCACAGAGAATGACACCCGCAAGTTTCTGGTGACAGCGGCTTGGTTTCAGACATACCAGCCTGGTCTGGGATTGGCAGATACGGCTTCACAGACAGCAAGGGGGAAGACATCACGGTTCATGTGGCTTCCACCAACAGCGATTTCGCAGCCAATTTGGATCTCGCAGCCAAAGAAAAGTCGCCCCGTGGTCCTGCTGCACAAGGACAAACACTACAAGTGGCTCTGTCCCCCGACTGAAACTGAGGTCGAGAAGCACTGGTTGCGGGAATGTGCGGGAACCACCCTCGCCCTCAAAGGGAGCGCTGAGCGGAGCAGCCAAAACTGCTTCGGTTGCTGACTCGGAGGCCACCCCTTCCCTGCATACCACCAAACAGGTCAGCAGGCGGACAAAAAAGCGCTTGAGCAAATGCCAAGGTCTGCCACCATGGCTACTCCCTCTGTTCACACGACCTTTCTGGAACACAGGACACGTTTATCACCCCCCTAGCTCACACTGCAAGTTCTTCAAGTGCCGCTCGGACACCTACACGGCCCCGATCTTGGCACCGAGGGGCAGTAGGACAACTCCGGTGGCCCTGTGACTTGTGTGAATTTAAGGCGTACAAAGCCCCAGGGGGTCAGCTCGCACAATGACTCTCGACGTGAACACTTGCTGCAGAAACATAATTTTTCCAAAGCGATGGCCAACAAAGAAGCTGTTGACCTTTGGCGCCTGTGCCTGTGAGCTGGAGATGGATCTTGCTCGTACTGTTTTGGAAGTTTCACTCGAGCATAGATGAGGAGCACCAAGAGACCCAGATGAATATGAAAATGGAGGTCGACAGTGGGGATTGAAAAGTTCTTTCCAGCCGCAAGCATTTGTTTTAAAAGTTACAAAATAACTACATGAATGAAGACGTGTCGAAAGAGTGTTCTTGAACGGTTACGTCAAGACTTCATAACCTGCGATCCACAATCATGTTGCATTTTGTGGTGCCTTCAGCGTTTGGTGGCTCTAGTTTGCAACCCTGCTTCGGCGCCACGAAATTTGCACTACTTTGGCCATTGCGCTGCCACGACGGACTTTTCAAAGGTCACCCCATAGCGACCACAGCAAGTTTTGCACGCCCTCACCCCTCGCCCGGTTTGGTTCGGGACCAGGAAAGGCCTGTGAACGGAGCGTTTGCGCTTTCAGGTGAAAGCTGGGCGCTCTACAGCAGCCAAGTATTCGAGTTGCCTTCCGGACTGAAAACGCCACTGGGCTCTGTGAGAGGTATGAGATGGAATTCGGGTTCGCGGCCAAATGGTGGTGCTCCTGTCAAAACCTAGCTCAATTCAGGAGCGAGTGGACTTTGGTGACATAATAGCCATGGAGTCAAATTCAGCAAACTGATATCTTGAAGGGGTGAACAGTGTTTTTCAATGTTTTTTAGTTTTTTTTAGGGTTTGGCATTTGTTTCGTTGGGTTTGAGTCTTATCGTTGAGCATGGTATTGTCATGAATCATGACACCTCTGATGGAGGGCCTCAAACTTACGCAAGACAAGCATGGACGTCCGTCAAATTGTGGTGCAAACCTTTCATCCTGTTCTACAATCACCAAATCCAGCTTCAACTCGTATGTTTTGCTTTGGGAGGCGTAGGTGTAGGCATGAACACTTGCAGCCCCATAAGGGGTGTCAGTAGAATGTCCCCTTGCCCTTGTTGGTCTTTGGAACCAAAATTGGCTCTGGGGCAGCGGATTACGGATGAGCTTTCTTCTTAGTTCCGTGTGAGAGAATGAGACGTATTCCGCTTATGTGGGCTTATGTGAAGCATGCTTCCACTAAAGTGTTTTTTTTACATCGATCGATCTGAACTAACTTTCAGGCGTATGTTTGTTAGTATGTTTGCTGTTTTTCTTCGCCTGCTTGATGTTGGGGATGATGTTTGGGTATTTTGTTGACACAATGATTCTGTTGATTATGATCCATTAAGTCCATCAAGCATCCCCACCATCAGAACATCTTGATCAGTATGTTCCCTTTGGGGGGATGTCGGAGATTTCTCATGTGGGATGCCCAGATCGATTTCTCTCAGCTCGTGCTTTTCGTTCTTCCATCGACCCGATGGATCGGGTGAGGCGAAAGATCTACGCGTCGCAGATGGTGGAGAAGGGTGGCCAGTGGAATGTGGCTCCTTGGGATTGCACACCGTTTTGGCCGGTTTTGGCCGGTTTTGGCCCCGACGGAAGCCGGGCGAGAGAGGTTGTCAGAGCTCGGGCCGTAGCCCGTAGACCGGAAGTTCACGGTGTTCCATGAGAGCAGGACTTCTGCAAGGAACCTCCCAAAGCGGATTCACTTGGATTTCGCTGTTCCATTTGGGGGCTCGAAAACACCAGAGCCACCCAGTTCACCCAGCCCGACTGCGGAGACCGGTCGTCCAGGTGTTGGATACCGATGTGTTGATGGCGTTCTACCGAGAAGTGCTGAAGGATCCCGAGTGGCGAGAGGCGAGGGGTCTGTGGAGGTTGTGGCGTGTGTTGTTTGGATGAAGGTGTTGGAGTGTTCGTCCAAACATTTCGGTGGGCTGGAGTCGAGAAAGAAAGAAAACGGTGTAAGAATGTTTAAAAAGGTAGATGGCAACAAGTTACCTTAAGGTCGGTGGCTTACATGGACCAAGTTTTTTCTTTTCAGACATTTTGGGGTGCCAGTGCCATCTACTCAGAAACCACCGTATAGCTGCTCAAGCCGAGCTGCCAGTTGTCTTGGTTTGGGGGCTTGATGAAACAAGCAGAGTGAGTCCCCATGAGTCTCCCCTGTGGGTTCCAAGGTAGACACACAAATCCCAAGTGCAAGCACACGCAAGCACTCACTCAGTGACAATTCCCAGGGTGAGGATGGTTCTGTTTGGGGTGAGGAGTATGGGGTAGAGGATTTTGGTCCCACGGTCCCACAGTCTTCCACATTCATATCTTGTGATCAAACCATAGTGGATCTATTGGAGGGTCGCCCTGGGCAGCGACGTTCCATCCATAGGGTCTTTTCTCCATAGGGACCAGTCTGGCCTTCAGAGTGGAGGATCCTTCGCTGTGTTTCACCTCCAGTCTCCTCTCCCCCCATCTTCTCCTCACCTCCCCAGTCGCTTCTCAGCTCGGCTGTTGTTTCGCGTCACGACTGTCTCCCCTCCCCTCCGAGGCGAAGTGGATCGTCCGCGCAGATCCGGAGTGCATCTTCTACCCGGTGCATTTGAAGACGATCCTCTTTCACCAGGTGCCACGGACCCGGGACCCTGTGCACCCTGTGGGACGGGGACCCGGAAAGAGAAGGAATGGTGCTTCCATCTTCACGGTGCTTGCAGGAAGAGGAAGAGAATGCAAGAGAAGGAGGGTCTGGAAGGGTTTGCTTAGTAGAGTCATGTTTGGATCGAGTTTTTCAAAAGGGTGTTTGGCCTTTGACCCAGACCCACCTTGTGTTGTTGGCATTTTGGGGTCAAAGTTTGTAATTATATATTTTTTGTTAATCCCCCCAACAAAAATCAAAACAAACGCTTGAAGGAGACTTCATGGTCTGTATGAGAAACTGGCCCTTTTAAAGGAAACGACGGGTAATGCGAAGGAATTCCCTTTGTTGAATTGCTTTTAAAAGGGAACATCGACAATAAGGTGTTTTTTCCTGTCCATTGGTCAATTGAAGTCTTTCTCCTGTGCCAATCGGGAATTAAAACGAAAACTATATAGTAATATGAAATCAAAGGAGATCCGATGTGTTTTTTGCAGGCGGATGTTTTTTGTATGCTGTTTCGACCCGCTAGACACGTCATATTATACTAAATAACATTAAATAACTGGAGCAATGATTTTGATGAGTTTGAATCACGGTATTTGACAGATTTTCAATAACCGACACAGAGAGGAACACATGGACAATGCTTGCTATCTTTTTATTCCAACCTTCAAAACAGTTCAAGGGTTAGGAATTATTTGTCACAACTTGTTATGTCCATCCCATTCTACAAAGCAGCGTAAACCATGGTATCATAGAATTCTTACGGGCAATTACTTGACAGGAACACATGATCCGACATCGGCCGCCATGGTGCCTGTCACCCAGGAGCAGGTGGGCAATGTGGATGCTTCGCCCACGTACTTGGTCTCTGCGGACACGGCCGTGGGTTTCCCGCGCTTCTTTCAGGCGGCGGTGGGAGCCGTTGGGCCCGTGGGCGGTCAGTTGTGTTTGGGAGGGAGCCGAGCTAAGCAGGTGGGCAGACGGTGCGTCAAACAGAATGGGATAGATTTGTACGTGCATTGGATTACGGTATACACATTCTATTATTGCAGTTGCTTTGTTTAGGCTTCGGGGGTAGCTTACACAGTACTTTCTGAGGTGTGTTTTGGTAGCCCCGCCTGTAAGGGGCCGGGCGTTTTTATGCATATTTCTAGCTTTTGTGGCTTTGACGTCACCTGTACCTGCAAACATACTTGATGCCGTGGACCTTTGGGCTGTTCTGGTTGTTGGCGGTTTTGCTTCGCTTCGCACGTCGCGTCGCTTTTCTCTTCGATTCGCTAGAGAATGTAGAAAAAGTAGTATTTTCTTCGAAACTTTTGGACCGGAAAAGTCATGTAGTCAAAACTGTTCGAAACTGTAGCCAAAACTCCAAAAACGAAGGTTCCGAGCAACGGTTGCAGCACTTTAGCCTCCTCCCCAACAACACTCTCTGTGTAAAAACATCCAAACGTATCCAAACGTTGGACATTACACAATTCCTACAAAACAGGACGTTAAACAAATAGAAAACACACACACACACAACATCACAAACGCGCGAAATGTTCTTCGTTTTTGGGCAAGGAGTCAGGAGTCGGCACCGTCTCATTGGGGGCACCGGCGCAGTTCGGATTGACACCTCAGGTGATGTCTCAAAGCGCTTTGCGGCAGCTCGCGACCGACAGCCGGAGTTGCTTCTGGCGCATGCGATGTGTCTCGGCGGTCAGATTGGTCGCCCTCGGGGCCGAGAACGAAGCGGGGGAGAGAGGTTCAGAAAGAAACAAAGACAGAAAGACATACAAACAGATGTTGGAACATGTACTTGACCTGATGAGGCTTGGTTGGATGTATGCAGTATATAACCTTCACGTGTTGTGTGTACTTTGAAGCTACCATGGGACAGTCTAGGGAAGGAAAGAATCCCTAGTAGACACAATGCTTGCTAGGAGGGTCTCGGAGCTCTTCTTTCAGGAATGCAATGATCTGGTTAAACTATCACTAGAGTGGAGAGAATGTGGAAGGCAGCAAATGTTCGGTTGTTCTAGCATGTTCTAGCCTACCCAGGAAAAGTGGCCCACCTTTAACCTTTTTGGAATGGGTTTCCCCACCCAAGCAGATCCAAAAACCATCTAGGTGGAAAAGAAGGTGTCCCTTTACTTTCCAGGGAAGCTGCGGAGATTGCTAGATGAGGTGTGTTCTCCGGTGTTTTTTCAGCCCTCATATGGTATAGTATAACACATGATGGACATGGTTCCATGGGCCCGGTCTTTGACGAGAAAAACACTCCCGGCACACTAGTCTTTCCAGGAGCCCAACGACCTTGGCTCAACAAAGATGACCTCTGTTTTCCGAAGACCCCATGTTTTTTTTTTTTTTTCCGAAGACCCATGTTTGTTTTCGCAAACGCAGGTTTTGCTGTGGGAGACGCACTCGTAGTTTTTGTTGCAAGAACCACGTGTTTTCTTCAAGACCCTACATTTATTTCAAATCTCTAAGTTTTTGAGGGTGGTTGGATATTATGGATGTTGCTGTAGGCCAGCATAAGTGATGGAGCAACCCGAGACTAGTATGCTGTACACCTTGACCTCCAGTAAGCAAATCAAAGGAATACAAGTAGGAATACAAGCATGCTTGTTACAGATAGTCTCTAGTATCCTCTAGTTATACACTCGAAACCACTTTTTCGTAAGTTAGTACCTGCCTAAGTACTCATCATTTTCCATGGATTGCTCTCTTTGTGACTCGACTCTTCCCTCGCCCAGACTGGGGCAACAGCCAGTACCACGGCTCCATGTGGTTCGACTCGCCACTGGGCGTGTCAACGTCTCGGACGTCCCGCTGCTGGGGGACCATCTACTACCTGCGGAACAGAGGTTCTCCGCTGGGGTGACTTCTCAGGTCATGTCCAATGCCCAAAGTCTGACCGGGGGTGTCCTGGGGTGTCCTAGATCCTGGAGAGTAGTGTAGGGGTGAAACCAGCCAGGTGACCCCGAACTGAAGCTGCTGGTGTTTGCATTTGTTTTGTGTTATGTTTTTCCATGAGGAATTATTTGATGAAGAATAATAGAGCCCAATATTTATTGATGCCAGGGACCTTTTACCGCTTTGACCATGAGGAAAGAGATGATCAGAACTAATTTAGCTGGTTTCAATAATGCTAGTCTAGTCCACTGACCAGTGGGTTTTGGAGGGTAGCCTCTTTTGGGGAGCCATAGCCAATGTGTATTCAGAACGAACACCCAAATCACAATTATATTTGTTTGTTCTTTTGCGGGATTTTGCGGGTTGCCTTCCTCCACGCCCCTTTTGCGAACCCTCATTGCCCACTTTCGTCATACCAGTCAGATTTCTGGGTGTTGCAATCAGGGCTAGTCCGTTGATCAAGCCCTTCGAACTGTTACACATGTTGAAACCGGATCATCTTGGACTCTTTCTCATGGCAACCACTCTTTCCATGGACTACTCCTTCCATGGACTACTCTTTCTTCATAGTGGATCATCTGTCCCATGGCACTTTCCTTTGACTTCTGACCGACGGGGATCGACGGGTGCTAAGCCACCGCCAGCTTCCAGGTCCGGGTTGGGGTGGAGAAAGCGCGCCGTGAGGTCCCGGTCCAATAGAGAATATGTATATATATATA